ATGCTAGTTTCCTTTTTCCAAAAATTAGAATCCATGTCATACTTGTGATCATGTAGTAAATGGATACATAAGGGATCCTCAAAGCTTAAATGGGTTAGATAGTTGGGGATAATTTGCTTAATCCAATATATCACCGAAAGGATTTAAAATTCAAGGGTAGTTTGCTCCATTAGTGTTGTTTGATAAATTAAAATGATTATAAAATATAAAAACTGATTAAAATAGTTTAAAAAGTATTAAAAAAATTATTTCGATAAATATGATATTTTGAAAGTTAAGAAGGGTAAATATTATTTTTAAATTTTAGGTTGCACAAGTATAACATTTTGAAATTTATGATGGGTATATACGAAATTCTTCCAATTTTTTATATGGTTTATTTATGTGGTTTCTGAAAGTTGCCTCCATAGTCCGTGATAAAATGCTTCATTAGCTACGTTTGAAATGACAAAAATTTCCTCGCATGTCTTTTTCTTATTTTTTTTTTCCTTTTTTTATTTTAATTTCTTTTTTTAATTTTTAAATAAAATGACAATTGCACATAACCCCACTAATACCGACACGACCCACCAACAGCCGAAAAAAAGAACCCAAGAAGCTCAACCTTGAACCACCACTAAATCAATAATCAACACCACTACCACCACATCCCCCCATTGTCATAAATATTCGTCGGGATATAAGAAATCTCATTAAGAGAAAATAATCAGGCTTTTACACGATGAAATTGACGAGATTAAACTCAAATTACACAATCATGACATTCACACCTACGGCTGCCAAAACATCCCCACCGGTGAACACTTTAGTTTCCTCTCTCTAACCAATGTTGGTGATTGTCATATTAATGGAAGGAGCATAAGGGACTAGAAAGAGCATTTTAGTGAAAAATGGACAAGAATGGAAGGAGGATTAGAGAGTAAAAAGAGTATTTCGATGAAGAGAGAGAAGAAAGTAATGGAATTAGACAACATCATCAAAATAATGTCATGTTAACGTCCAAGTGGAGTCCATGTGGACAAGATTTAGGCGAAGCCATTTAACGTTTACCTTTGTTTTGGATAGTTGAATATATTAAAGCTAGCAAGAAGCTAGAAAGGAAAATTTAAAAAATAAAAAAGGTAAAGCCATTAAGGGGTTTTGGAGCCAATCGCTCCAAAAGGCCTTAAACTTTATGTTTCTATTGACAAACCACAAAAAAAAAAAATAATCAACTATACTCTAGAACAAAACTTCGCGAGAAGGAAGTTTATCATTAAACACCATCTCGTTTCTAAACCTCTGTAGCACCCAAAGCACCACTCCTAATATAGTTTCGAGAGCTAGTTTTCGAACCAAAGGCAACCTTAGATCATCAAACTAGTCGTAAACATCACGCAATTTTTCTAAACAAGGCAACGTTAGATCATCAAACTAGTCGTAAACATCACACAATTTATCATTAAACACCATTTCGTTTCTAAACCTCTGTAGCACCCAAAGCACCATCTCGTTTTTAAACCTCTGTAGCACCCAAAGCACCACTCCTAAAATAGCTTCGAGAGCTAGTTTTCGAACCGAAGGCAACCCTAGATCATCAAACTAGTCGTAAACATCACACAATTTGTCTAAAGAAGGAGGGGTAACATCAACCCGCTTAAAAACTTTTGACCAAATAGTCGCTGCTAGATCACAAGACCACAAAACATGGTCTATATATTCTGGAACAATCAAGCAAACAGGACACATGAGAGTTTTAAGATCCACACCTTTGCGGCGAAGATTCCATCTAGTAGGGAGCATGCTAAGTAAAATTCTCCAAACTATAATATTAACCTTCTTAGGAAGGAATTTAAACCACCTAGTTTCTATATTGTTATCAAGAAGACTCAAATTGTCAATGTGCAACCTGCTTTCCTTAACAGAGAAAGAAACAGAGTCGTCTAAAAACCATCTTCAATGGTATTAATCATTAGAAAAGCGCACACCTTGCAGCAACATTAAAAGATCTTCAAGTTGACGACAACTAACTCCTCCACGTATAGGCCGAGACCAACACTAATGCCATCCATCATTCTACTTATCTTGTACCAAACAATTTTGTTGAGTTTCCAAACGAAACAATCTAGAAAATCTAACATTAAGTGGTAAGTCACCTAGCCAAACATCACTCCAGAAGCGTGTAGAATTTCCATCACCTATCTTTTTTTGTAAGAAAGAATGAAGCACCAAACTCTTTCCGTGCATGGAATTTATGGATCCTACAATCCTAGACCACACGCCTTGCCCATGAGCATGAGGAAACAAAGATGTGTATCCACCTCTATATTCACCATACATTGCAGTAATGAGATCCACCCACAAGGCATTTTTTCAGTAACCAGTCTCCATTTCCACTTCTGAACAAGCAATAAATTTAAGGCGTCAAGACTACCAATGCCTAGACCACCTTTGGTTTTAGAAGTAAGAATCGAGTTCAAGACAATCCAAGTAAAAAAAAATCGCTCTGGTTAGAACCCAAAAAGAACTTAGACCGGATAGACTCTAATTTATTTTTAATTTGAATCGACATGTGAAATAAAGGATGGTAATATGTACCAAGAGACCCCAAGACAGTAGAAACCAACACAAAGCGACCACCAATTGAAAGCATATTAGCTTTCCATCTAGACAACCTATTATTAAAATTCTCAATTATAGGATCCCAACTTTTGAGCCTCGACATATTATTGCCAACATGGAGAGTCAAGTAGAAAAAAGGGAAGTTGATTCGCCTTGCATCCAGTAATTCCAGCAAAAATTTTGATCTCTTCAAAATCTACACCTACACCGTACATATTAGATTTATGCAAATTAAGCTTTAGACCGGTGACACAATAGAAACACTACAATTATTGAACAATCGCACGTATATTAGAACGATCCCAATCACCCAAGAATACACACGTCATTTGCATAAAGTAAATGAGAAATTTGAAGAGAACCAATCATAGCACCTCGAAAGAACCCTACAACTAAAGCATCCTCGACTGCAACATGAAGAGTCTCCATAGCTAAAATAAAGAGAAAATGAGAAAGAGGATCTCCTTGATGTAACCCTTTTTAAAGGGCAAACTCCGCAGAAGAACTTCCATTGACGAAGACAGAAGTCTTGGCCGAACTCAAGCAACAACGGACCCACAACCGCCATTTGGAACCAAAACCCAAGAAAAGCATCACAAGGTCAAGAAAGTCCCAAGATACCGAATCGAGCGCCTTTTCAAAGTCTACCTTGAAAATCATGATTTTTTTTGGGTACCATTCCAATATTTCATTTACCATGAGTGGGTCGTCCAAAATTTGTCTGCCCTGATAAAAACAAAAACAGTTTGCTCACGGCTAACAACCGAGTCAATGACTCGAGAAAGTCTTATTGCTACGACTTTAGCAATAATCTTATACTAAGCTCCGATAAGGCTAATAGGCCGAAATTCAATCACTATCACCGGGCTGTTAACTTTGGAGATTAAAGTGATAAAAGATGAATTGCATCCTGAAAGAATCTTTCCGATAATAAAAAACTCACTAACAAACGTCATAACATCAACTTTCAAAATTTCCCAATATTTTTTAAAAAATGCGAAGGTAAAACCATCTGGACCTGGCGATTTATCCGAACCACAAGCCCATAGAGCATCACAAACCTCTTGTCCATTAATAATCGCTTCCAAGGAAGTAATCTGATCATCATTCAAGGATTTGTATTGATTACTTCTGACTCACTTTCACCCTATCAAAGGCTTTATACTTCTTTTGAAAAAACTGAAGAAAAAAAACATCTTTAACACCTTCAAGATCAGTTAGCCACAACCCTTCACTCTTTATTCCTTTGATAGATAGTTGACACCTTTTCTGATTAATCAAACCATGGAAAAATTTCGTGTTTTCATCGGCCTTTATATCCTAATTAACTTTAGCTTTTTGCGTCGCATCAAGTCTACGTTTACCTAATCACGAAGGTTATTTAATAATCTGAATCTTTCTTTTTATCATGTCAGCCGTACCAATAACACCCTCAATAGCTTTTTCGGTTTCAACAATAACTAAAATCAAAGCTTGTTTTTTCGAGTTCTTTTCAACCTAGTAATCTCGAGGCCAAGCTCTAATTTTTTCTTTCACAAACTTCAATTTATTTTTAAAAACAATACACATTAGTGCTTACTAATATTTTGTTTTCAATGAATATCTTTTATTAGTTTTATTACCACAAAAGACCGTAAATTTCATAATCAGTTTTTATATTTTGTTTTCAATGAATATTATTAACCATTTTTTACATTACCCATCACAAATCTCATCATCTATTTTATTTATTCATGCTTACTAATCAAATTCAAAGTTAACTAAATATGACAATATTGTTAATTTTTGTTTTGATCAGTGGAATAATTATCATTGGTTATATACAACTTATTGGTGGTTTATACATAAAAAAATAAAGATGTAATTATAACAAGTTTATTTATATTTCAATTCATTTTAGCAGGTTACAGGTTACAGACGTTAAAAAACAACCGGTCTTTTTCTTATAGACTACAGACGTTAAAAAACAAATAGTCTTCTTCTTGCAGACTACATATGTTTGATCTACCTTTTCTTTTGTATAGTCTTCTTCTTGTTTGTAGAAGGAACAAATAGGTAGTCCCTTCTCCGAATGGTTAAGTCCCAACATACAAAATGTTTAAGTCGCAATATAAATTCAAGCCGAAAACTGATCTTAGTAGCAAGGTGGTAAAGTATACAACATACCAATCACAAATAAAGCAAAAGAAGAAGATAAAAGTAGAATGTTATAAGTAGGGGTGAGCATAACCGGGTACCCGGCTAATTTAACGGGAACCGGAACCGGAACCGGAACCGGCGGTTACCGGTTCCTCAAATCCAACAATAATTTACAAAAAAAAGTAAACATAAACACCTTATCACTAAAAGATCATCATCATTTGCAAATAAACTTACAACTTAATTCAATTGTAAAAGGATCAACATCAAGTCTAGCAAGTCTTTAATAGTTACCAGTTAACACTCAACAACACAAAAGTTATCAAAATAAACATTTCAACAACAAACAAAAGTCATAACATGCTCTCAACAACAATTCTGCAAGTCTGCATCAACCCAACAGCATATCTGTGACAGCCTAATAGCAAACAGCCCACCAGCAACATTTAACAGCAAACCTGTAAAAGCCCAACAACAAATAGTCCAACAGCAAACAGCCTACCAGCAAACATTTAACAGCCCATCAGCAACTCTAAAACATGTTAACAACCCAAAAAACAATATCTATTATGGATTATGTGTAGAAAAACATAACAAAATAGTAGAAGTTATAAAGCTACCTCAAAAAGCAAATATTTATTATGATTTTCGACCAATTGTAACATCAACAGTGTCACCAATTTCTGCAATAGATATTAAACAAACAATTCAAATTAATAAAGATATACACAATATAGGAAAA